ACAAGCGTATGTTTGTCTGTCTTTCTAGTGGGGGAGGGAGTCGTGGGATCCAAAAATATCAATCCACTCTCAAAAGGTAGTGCACTTTGCTGTTTGTACCTTTATATTCTTTGATTCATGTTAGTGCAAGTTACATCAGGCATAACAATGCTCTACCGCAAGTCATGGCAAATACCATTCCTAAAATCATTCCGCCTTTTACCCTCAACGGATATGATTTTTTCTCGATAACTCTGTGAAGAGAATTGTTTCCATTGAGTTGTACAGTCGACTCTCTCTTAAGCGACACCTCTATAAGACGGACACCTCTGTAAAACGGACACCTAGAGTTGGTCCCTGCCTTTCTTTACTCCCTTTATTTGACTCTCTATAACACGGACATCTCTCTTAGACGGACACTTAGTACCGGCCCCAAAGGTGTCCGACTTAGAAAGAGTTGACTGTATTACCCATTCGTCTCAGATGTTTTAAAATGTAGAAATAAAAGCGTGAAACTGATTTGACGAAGTGATTTTCTGTTTTGATGAAAATATTAAAGAACCTCAAACGAACCGGAAGGTTGTCGCAATTAAACCTCCCCCCCCCCCAGTTGAATGCAACATCAATCCAAATGTCCTTCTGTAGATTTGTGACCGGTGACCTGTGACCAGTAACCTGTTACCAGTGACCTCTGACCAGTGACCAGTGATCTATAACCAGTGACCTACAACAAAACACGACACAAAGAAATGGAAGTGGGAATGGAGAAATTCCATATTGAACACATTGCACATAACGGGCTCGCTTTTAGTGGGCCGACCCCAATATTTAAGCCTGTCAAACAGGAAGTATGGTTCTTAAAAGGCCGTTGTTAGTAATTATTGAGAATACGGTGTCAGCTCAAAACGTTTAAGTTTCATGGTCTTATCAAAAAAGTCCCTTTTGTTAAACTATTTAAAAAAATAGTAATATTTAAATGTTCCGTTTTAGTGAAAAATAGAAAAGTTTGAAATGAGCTAAGCCTCCAATCAACCAATCGATATTTCAGAAGGTTACAAAATCGGGACTATTTAGATAAGGCGGTTGTAAAAAGGGCTCTTTTTAGAGAACACTACATCTCTGTTGTTTTCCCTTGGAATGAACTTGAAGAAGCGTAAAGCACAGCGAATTTATCAAACGAAAATAATCGTCCATCGAAGACCCTATTGAACTTAAACAAAGCCGTGAGTTTCCACGTGCTTCATGACTGGTACGCTCGTCGACACATAACGCATTGTTTTAAATATTTTACTGCCTTGGGGCTCTTTTTAATGATTTCCCCCAACTACTTTCTTGACGACTACAAAAGTGCTAAAGTGCAGTTTTTCTTAACTCATCAAAGGGTAAAATATAATGTTTCAGTAACATAGTGGGATAGACCGACATGTACCTTCTCCTTACAATAAAGGGCTCAGGATTTGATTGGACTGGTGTATGCAAACCTTTACTTACTTTACAGCAGATTTTATGGAAGGAGGGATTGGGAAAATGCTAAAAAAAGAACTTATAATAAAATAGCAATAACCGTTTAAAACAAAGGTCGTCATTGTAAATGGAAGACACAACGATTTTTCCAAAGTTATTAAAAATTCATGTCGTTTACATAACATCCATTAACTAGTGCAAAACATAAAAATATGTAGCACGTGGTTGCCAGTCTATGAGCTTCTATGGGATGGGCAGCGAATGATAATATTTCTATAGAGGTTATAAACAAGTGCTCAAATGTTTTCCCTATCGACTGATTTGTCTGAATGAAAAGCATGTAAGAGAGTGCTTCGGTATCTGTCAACGTTTGTTTCAGAAACTAAACATTTCTTATTTAATCACTTGTTTGTTTTCCTTCCTTTCGCTTGAAATTTATCACTTAGAGCTGCAGACGTCCGTGCAAAAGAATGGATATTCCACGTTTCGTCATAGAAACAAACTTCCGCTTCTATTTCATCTATTGTCACACTGTAATTTTGTTTAATAACAAATTAAACTGATGTTATTCCTATTGTTCCACTTTTCTTTTTACTGAGTCTTTAGTCAGCTACTCGTTGTGGTGCTGGAGATAGTAAACCAACTAAACAGAATACTTGGTGACTGTATAACGCTAGAGAACTGCTTACCACTTACGCGTTAAAATCAGCTAAAATCAACGAGACCTGTCTCCTTCATGAAATTGAAAGCACTCAAAATTCATCTCTTTCAAATTTTTAAGGGAATTTGAATTATTTTTTTTACTTCTCCTTCGAAATAAAGTCCTCGGACGACTGGGTTCTCTGCCTCTTGCAAAAGAATGCTCAGTTGAATCATGATTCAGTTCCGTTGGTCTTGGTGATTTATCAGTTGTGCATGGATGATACATCTTTTGGGCCATCAAGGTAGTTCAGAGTACCTTATTCTTGTTGCTGATATTGGCTGATGCCTAGAGGGGTTTGATACCATTGCATTCTAAACTACACGCAAAGCGTATGAGTGAATCAAGCTGGGGCCGAAACAGACGGCCTATGGCAGTTCAACTTCTTTTATTCATAATCAAAAATCTCAGAAAGTTGATGCCTGTATCTGCCTTAGTGTAGCTGTTGAAAAATATAGAGATTGTTATAAAATAGAACTATGAAATAAAAATGCGAAGTACACAATTAATCATGGCAGTACGTGAGGTCTGATTATTTCGGCGTCAAAACAGTGGAACAGTGGCGTGCTACAACAGCTCTCTTCAAGGCAAACTGGCTTACTACCATTTTACATCCAAGACGGTAAAAAGGCAGTTACTCCGGAAGTTGCGACATTTATACTACAGTGATCCTATTTTATAACAGTGGATATCTAAAACATTCAAATATAGAAATGTAAGGTGATTTTGAAAAAAGCCAGAAAACTTCAACAAATACATGGTTACCTGTGATATCACATGAAGCTACCGGTAATAATTATTTCGTGAAATCAGCCAGTAAAAATTGCCGATTGGACGCTTACCTTATCTTTAGAATAATTAGTAATTTGGTTGGTTTATTTTGTTTAGTGTGAGTTTTTTTTTTCTTCTATTTTTATTGCTGTAGTCTTTCGCCAGAAAATGAGGTGGTTTTGGTCTATAGCCTTTTACTAAGTCCATTGTAGTCGCTCTGTTTTGTTTGTTGGTCGTACAGCCTCTCTGTAGACTGTGTCACTCGCTGATAAAAACGTCAAAATTTTACTCGTTATGTCTGATGAAGAGAGGTCGACTTGGTGCAAGTTTATCTTGACCGAATGCGGTCTAACTCGAAACCTTCGTAGCGTAGCAACTGGTGGAGAGACTACTGATCACGGCCGCAGAGTATGGTCTACTTAATGGTTTTGTCGACTGGATAAACACTGCATCCTTTCCCTAAAACGATACCCGTAATGAACATCCTAAGACAACCTAGAACATTGTAACAGGCCTGAGCAAAATCAGCTTCACCTCAATTCGCTTTCAGCCGAGGCTTGGCTATAAAATTCTTGTCTGGCAAGGCGCCCATTTTCCTTGAAGAAAGGAAGTCAATTATATAAGGAAACAAAAACCTGACCTATTACCTAAACAGCTGTGAAACGGACTATACTAAAGTAAAGGCAGAACAAACTATGCGCTTTCCATTCAGGAATACCACTAAAGACGAAGCGCTCTGTTGTGATATTCTAAAAACCTCATTTATATTAGTTTTCGATTACAAATTGGTTTGCAACGTAAATTTGTCAGCAATTATTCAGTTTTCTTTTTCAGTAACGGCTCTAACCTTAGTGACAAAGTATTCAACATCAGTGTACGGACGTTTCTAAAGCCAATTTTTTCACTGTTCTTTAAATTGTTTATTAACCTGACGACATTTCATACAGTAAAGTAGAATGGTAGGAACTTTAGCTGAGTCCTGGCAGTTTAGGTCTTTACCATCAGAAAGGAATTGGAGACCGTTGTTTCGAGTGTAAGAAGGTCTGTGCCAGGAAGAGGTGAAGGGACCATTAAAATGGTAGAATAAACTGACATATCGAACTCATAAATTCATGGAAGCAATTTTAAAAGCAACTGAAACCACACGAACACGATTCAAGGTTCTTTTACCTTTTACTTTATTAGCTGTTTTATCGGATGCGCCGGGTTTAATTACATTTTTAAAGGAGTGATGTCGCCCTAAAGTAGTTCACTGAAAAGTGAAACTAGTATAACTGCATTCTAATATGAATTACATATTATAGTCTAACTACTAGTCCACCAATTGGTTTTGAAAAAATAGGCTGTTACAAATATCTTTTTTGCGAAAGATATTCCATCAGTTGGGGGAAGTCATAAAAAGGGAAAAAAATGCCGTTTACTACTTCTTCTTAGTTTCCCGAGTAATTTGTTAGAGTTAATGTCTTGTTAGTTTATCCGTGAAAAAAATCGACTCGTGACAACGTTCTTGTACGTTCAGTTAGGCCCATTTCAAACGTTGTACTACTGCCGTACCGAACTCAGTTGATCGAATTCAATTCGACTTTACTATGGCAGTAGCGCGACGTTTGAAACCAACTCGTGCTACTGCCATGTAGCACGGTAAGCCTTGCCGTGCTACACGGCAGTAGCTCGACTTGGTTTCTAACGTCGTGCTACCGCCGTGCCGAACTCAATTCATAAATTACAAATACGTTAGAATACATTTTAAAGTGTGCTAAACCGTTTCTTTATTTTTGTGTCTCGTTTTCGGCAACAGCCGTTCTATTCGACTGAATAAAATTCGACGCCTGAAACCAAGTCGTGCTAGCGTCGTGCTGCAGTCGAGCTACAGTCGAGCCAGTTTAGCACGGCACTAGTACGACGTTTGAAACAGGCCTTACAAAACCATTTAAAAGAAGCTATCGTTTTCGTTGTATGCAACTTGATATATTAACGCTGGATCGGCCAAAAACATGCCAAGCTATGTTTCGAAGACAAAAAAATTGATGAATTAACTAAGGTCTCGGCCTTCTTGCTAGATGAGACTGATAAGTTCAACAACTGGCTAATTTATTCCGTTTAACATCCAGTGATGCCAGGGTAGGTAGGCAATTTGTGGAGCGCACGGTACAGTACTTACAGTAAAGCCCCCATGGTGATACTGTAACGGTTCCATGGGTGCTGCTACTGAAAATGGTGGGTTTATTTTATGAATATGGCATGGCAAGCAGGGACGCTGTATAGCGATGTGGTTCTCAACCAAACGGTTCCAACCTTCCGGTCGCAAATTTGGATTCTTGGGCATCGATTTACGTCTTGAAAAATCTCCGCGGCTAAATGCTTCCAAAAAACTGGGATGGATGTGCCAGTAACATCCGGCTTTGTCCATTGCGATCTCTCCTCGCTGAAAGCATTCATGAAGAGACAAATTGTGGCGGACGGTGTTCTTCCAGCGTATTCGATGCTCGGTGAAGCTAGGATAGTTGTTCTGGATGAAACTATAGATCTCAGATAAAGTGACACGTTTTTGCGGTGATCTGAGGATAGCATAGGCAATGACCTCTATGTAGGATAGCGGAGACGAATTTCGCCTTCTCTTCTGCTTCTTCTTTTGTTTTTTATTGCTACAATGTCCTCTCTCCTCCTCTTTTGATACAAAAACTCTTTTGCTGAAGTATTCCTTTTGCTCGGTCTGTTCTGCGCTGTTCATTTTTTTTTGTTTCTTTTCTCAGACTTGATCGAGCAAACCTACCAAAAGGAATGTCGAAAGGCCTTGAAAAATCGCCTGTAGTGACGATCTGCTGAGTTTTGTATACAATGTTTTAGATGAATAAGGCCGCACCCTTTTTCCTCAATCTATAATAGTAGTTAAGGCTTTAACCAATAGGGTATCACGTTTATTTCTCACCATAACAAGGCCATGTGCCATGATAAAGACAAGTGTTGCTAAATAAATTATGGCTTTAATGGCCTCAAGCTAAACGTACACGTCATAAACATTTGTTAAAATTTCTACACTTCTTTTCTCGTTGCGGTCATTTCCTTGTTAGAACGTGGTTTCTATTCTGATAGACCGTTACAACTATTAAATTAGCTTTTAAAATGTTTCAAAACTTGTTTTGCACGTGATTTTGCGGTACTCCGCCTGTACCATTGGACAGGTGTCTTCCGAACACGCCGTCACTTAACAAATTGCATCCTCTATTTGCTATCGCGGTTTTACACTCGAATGGACATAAATGAAACTGACATTTCGACGGCAGCATTGAGAAGTCCTGTAACAAATTAATAGAATGTGCCCATATATTTATGCTGCCCATAAAGGGCAATGTAGCATTTCAATTTGTGAGTTAAGTCATTCAGTTGAGGAAATTTTTTAACATTAGATAATTAATTCTACATGTAACATATATATTGTACTGAAATACCTCTTTTAATCAATAGAACTTATCCAACATTTGTGTCTTCTTATTTTCGACGTTAGAGCAACATATTCTACACAGAAATCTTGAATGTCGTGTGATACCAAGTGGTTTTTTCCACTTCCGTGTACTACTTTGGTGCTATATTGAATTAACCACACTTACTTTGTTGAACGCTGGGTCAAAAGAGGCAAAGGTAATAAAATAATTAGGGCCCCTCCGACATTTATTTGTGGTAATGAACTTTAACTATAAAGGAACGATGCAAGACTGTCAAGTAACAGTGATTACATTAACAATAAACACTGCGCCTGAATAAACTGCAGTTCAAATAAACGTCGTCGCGGATAAACTGTTCAGCTTAACTTCCCTCAGAAACATATTCCAACCTGAAGCTAAAAGCGAGCACAGACTTTAGAAAGTGCTGAATAAAGAGAGCTACAGCGCACTTAGTATTCTGTGGTGTAAAAGGGATAGGAGGACAGACCGAGTCTTTCAAAACCTGTCGTTTACCCACCAAGGGATGTCCCTTCAGGCTATTTTCAATTGCTATTGTAAGGGTTTGCGGGTATCGTTGGACGTTTTAAGCCACTTTTAAGTGTCGTTTGTCGCCATGTCACTGTTTCATGGCCATTTCGCTAGTGGGAATCAGTATTCTAGCAGACAATAAAAAGGAAACAAAATCCAGTGATAGACTATCATCCAAACGATTTTGTTCAAGGATTGCTTTATTTTTCTGCGGCCTGTGCACAGACGTCTCCCTTCCCTCAGGAAAACCGGATCGAGAGAAGGGACTCTTCTCCCGATTTTTTCCCGAGGGAGGGGAGACGTCTTTACACAGGCTTATTTTTCAGGCGCAGATGGGAAAAACCTCAATATCTTATGAATTTCACGGTGCACAGTTCTTTATCGTGAAACTGTTGACTTCTATAGATTCACAGCCGACCACTTTCACGTAAAGAGTGAAAGAATTTTGGATCAGACGGAAAATGGCGTGAAAATTTGAATTCTCAGCGTAAAAAATATATTTCACCTGCAGTGTAAAAACACATACTACTTACGCAAAGTTTAAACACTTTTCAAATGAATTTCAGGCTAATGCCCTAAAATTTTCATTATACATTCAGACTGTGTCTGTGCGCTTTATAATGGAAGAGACACTAATGTTTTTCATTTGAAAAGAGCGTTTTCACTCACGTGGCTAGCATCTATGCTAATTTAATGGAATAAAAGAAAGTTTTTACATAAGAAAAGAGTTCAATTGCCACAGGGTTCTATTGGTACGCCAACATGGCCGCCGCTTCATTGTTTTGGAACACCAATATAGACGCCGTGACGTCATGTGAATACGCTCTATTCCTTCCAACAATTTGATCTTGGTGCGCTTATTAGACCTTGTGAGTTAAATACATTATAAATTAATGTAAACTTTTAAGGTTTAAAAAGCAGCGTTATGAGCCATTTCTTATATGAAAAAAGTTTGACTTCAAAAAACAAATTAAACAAAACATAGTTAAAACACCAATTAGAAGCAAACGAGAATAATCAAAATAGCTCTGATTATATCCTGAACATCACACTCCCAAATATGCTGAGTGGATAACTGTTAACGTACAACAAGCAAGTACGTGCCAGTACATACTTTCTTTACTGGTAATACTGACATAAACAAATAATTATATTAAAGATGAAACAACAACAACATGATATTAATTTGAGGAGGATTCGGAAAAAAATCCGAGTCCCAGAATAATTACCGATTAAATACAGTTACAATTTCTATAGCGCCAAAATCCCTATGGTTCTAGGTCCTGATATACTTGAATAAGCGCCAGGCGGGTGATTATTTACTTTCCACTCGCCGTTTATTTAAAAGTTAGACACGAGAATGAATTGTTTTAACTATGGTGTTACTTTTTCCCCGTAGTTAACTAACTTCTATTACATCGGATCGCGGCGCTTATTCGGGGGTGGTGCTTATTTACTTTTGTGACCCAAATGCGGCCCCTAATATTGGAGGGCGGTGCTTAATCGAGTAAATACGATAATAACATTGAATAGCAGACAATCAAAAGGAGCCAATGCGCTCAAACTTTCCACATTGGTGACTTAAACATTGAAATTGCCCTTCTGATCCTTGTCTTAGAAGCCGTCAAGGCGTTTTGGTCCGTTAGTGGCCGTGTAACTGCTGCGCCTGCAGCAAAACATGTGTTGACCCGCTATGTTATCCAACGCTTTTATCTCATTTTAAGCCACCTGCTACAGAATCTGCTACGAGACTATCTTAGCATTGATCTACACACGAGAAGGCTTTACCACTTTTGATTAACCTCTGTTTGCTAGATTTCATGGACAGCAAATTCATCAGCTGGAGTATAAGGCTTGTAAGCCCTTCTTGATATACCGCAATAAAATTTGCTTAGCCCAAATATTGTCAATAACCCGCCTTGGTCCGCTAAAAGGAACTTAACGTTAGCGTGGAATTTTCTTGTTAACGACAAAATCACAGCTTCTCATCAAACAAATGATCAAACAAATGATGATGATGATGATGATGATGATGAACTTTATGTAAGTGTCAATAAACCTTCTAACTGGCCAGGTAAGGCCTGCTAATTTGCTAACAGTGGACACTATATACATTGGTGCAAGTTTATCTTGACCGAATACGGCCTAACTCGAAACCGTCGCAGCGTAGCTACTAGTTGAGAAACTACTCATTACGGTCGCAGAGTATAGTTTACTCTATGGTTTTGTCGACTGGATAAACACTGCATCCTCCGCCTAAAACGATACACGTAATGAACATCCTAGAACAACCTAGAACATTCTGAGCAAAATCCGCTTCACCTTAATTACGAGGCTTGGCTATAAAATTCATGTCTGGCAGGGCGCCCATTTTCCTCGAAGAAAGGAAGTCAGTTATATAAGGAAACAAAAACCTGACTTATTTCCTAAACAGCTGTGAGTCGGACTATATTAAAGTAAAAGCAGAAAGCAGAATGCGCTCTCCATACAGGAATACCACTAAAGAAGAAGCGCTTTGTTGTGATATTCTGACAACCTCATTTATATTAGTTTTCGATTACAAATTAGTTTGCAACGTAAATTTGTCAGCAATTATTTTTGTTTTCAGTAACGGTTCTAACCTTAGTGACAAAGTATTCAACGTCAGTGTACGGTTTGAGTGCAACTTTCGCTGCCGATTTGTTTTACAAACAATGAAATTGGATTACGTTTCTTGAAATAACGCTGAAGTGCCGTTTCTAAAGCCAATTTTTTCACTGTTCTTTAAATTGTTTATTAACCTGACGACATTTCATACAGTAAAGTAGAATGGTAGGGACTGTAGCTGAGTCCTGGCAGTTTAGGTCTTTACCATCAGAAAGGAATAGGAGACCGTTGTTTCAAGTGTAAGAAGGTCTGTGCCAGGAAGAGCTGAAAGGACCATTAAAATGGTACAATAAACTGACATATCGAACTCATAAATTCATGGAAGCAATTTTAAAAGAAACTGAAACAACACGAACACGATTCAAGGTTCTTTTACCGTTTACTTTATTAGCTGTTTTATTGGATGTGCCGGGTTTAAAATAGTTCACTGAAAAGTGACACTAGTATAATTGCATTCTAATATGAATTACATATTATAGTCTAACTACTAGTCCACCAATTGGTTTTGAAGAAAGAGGCTGTTACAAATATCTTTTTTGCGAAAGATATTCCACCAGTTGGGGGAAGTCATAAAAAGGGGAAAAAATGCCGTTTACTACTTCTTCTTAGTTTCCCAAGTAACTTGTTAGAGTTAATGTCTTGTTAGTTTATCCGTGAAAAAATCGACTCGTGACAATGTTCTTGTACGTTCAGTTANTACAAACAATGAAATTGGATTACGTTTCTTGAAATAACGCTGAAGTGCCGTTTCTAAAGCCAATTTTTTCACTGTTCTTTAAATTGTTTATTAACCTGACGACATTTCATACAGTAAAGTAGAATGGTAGGGACTGTAGCTGAGTCCTGGCAGTTTAGGTCTTTACCATCAGAAAGGAATAGGAGACCGTTGTTTCAAGTGTAAGAAGGTCTGTGCCAGGAAGAGCTGAAAGGACCATTAAAATGGTACAATAAACTGACATATCGAACTCATAAATTCATGGAAGCAATTTTAAAAGAAACTGAAACAACACGAACACGATTCAAGGTTCTTTTACCGTTTACTTTATTAGCTGTTTTATTGGATGTGCCGGGTTTAAAATAGTTCACTGAAAAGTGACACTAGTATAATTGCATT